GCACATAAAATGTTTTCGATGGTGAAAGTTAAAATCAAATGAGAAGGTTTATAGCTTCCATTTTGAATGGTTACTCCAACTGGATAGAAGTTTATTGAGATATAAAGAGTTTGAGTCTGGTTAAATTTGGTGTTTGATTTTATTCGTAAGTTTTTTATAATATACCTTATTTTCATAAAATAAAAGTATGTTTTTAGGTAGTGGGAATTAAAAAAAACTTTTCAATTTATCTTAAACCTTATTTTAAAAGAAAATCACACACTGAATACAGTGACACATGCCTTTAATTCCCAGTGCTTGGAAGGCAGAGGTAGGTGGATTTCTGTGAGTCTGAGGCCATCTTAATCTACACAGTGAATTCCAGGACAGCCATGGTTATATATACAGACCCTGTCTCACACCCATCCCTGCCCCCACCAAATAAGATCACACACCAAAATTAACCACACCCAAACCCCAAAGACTGTACAACTCAACGAATGTCTATACAGTTAGAGTAGCTATTCAAAAAGCCAGTGGGCAATTTTATGATTTACCTGGGTGGTAGTTTCTTAAGGATAAAGATGGTGTCCATTATTTTTCTTTGTAGAATTTTCAATTCATGATTTCTTAGTGACCTAAGTCTTTCAAAGGATTGATTTTAAAAATCTTCACAAGGATGTTCTTTAATATAAGAATAGAATCCCCTATGTTACTCAGAGGCCTTCAAGAAATAAGGACAAGTGCCTGTACACCCCAAAGACTTAAATGACATCAATTATGTTCAGGATATACTGAGAAAGAATTCTCACTATGAAGTTTTCAAACTTTTTTGTATTCCTTCTTTCCTTCCTGGTTTTGTTTTATTTTTCAAGACAGGGTTTTTCTGTGTAACAGCCCAAACTGTCCTGAAACTAGCTCTGTAGAGCAGGCTGGCCTTGAACTCAGAAGATCTACCTGCCTCTGCCTCCCAAGTGCTGGGCTAAAGGCGTGCACCACCACTGCCCGGCTGTCAAATGTTTTTCCTATAAGAGACATTGTGAGGTGACCAGCAATTCACCGGCTTGGACTCTCGGAACTGACTAGGAGTCCTGGTTTTGCAATAGTCTCACTGCAGTCAGGGTCTTGTCTTCTACTACACTTGGGTCATGGTCTGATGCCTAAAACCTGACTCACAGTTTGTACTCAGCTGATGTTTATCTAACCAGTTCCTAATCTGAGGCAGTTTGCAATCTTTCTGGACTTCATCTTTTCCCTTTTAAAACAGAGTAGTTCTCTTCTGACATTTCTAGCTCCAACACTCTGATTATATGATCTATGTATCCTGAAGCCAGCTTCTCTGAGCAATCTGTCTTGTCTGGGTCACTGAGAAATGGCATAACATTCTTGCTTCATCGTAAGGAGTGTCTTCATTTCTGAGTCATTCTTACTGAAAGCACTCCAGAAGAGTCTGCAGCAGCGTCTTAGTGGAGAACAAATTGGAGAATTACCCCTTCAGTAATTTTACAGAATTCTCTACTCTATAAAAGCTGCCCAAGAATTTCATGTAGTTTCTTTTTGCTAAAGCTTTTTTTTAAAAAAAAAATGTATAGGTGTTTTGCCTGCATGCATGTCTGCAAACTATATGTGTGCCTGATGCCCAAGGAGGCCAGGAAAAGGTATCAGATCTTCTGGAACCTGAGTTAGGGAAATGGAGTTGTGAGCTACCATGTGGGTGCTAAGAACTGAACCCAGGTTCTCTGCAAAAGCAGCCAGTGCTCTTAACCACTGAGCAATCTTTCCAGCCCTCCTGTAGTTTCTTAATGGTATCTTTCACTTCAAGGAATCTGTTACCAGTCTGTTTAGATGGGCTGTGCTACATATCAACAGATTTGTTTGCTTGATAAGAAGTCAGATGACTTTGTGCTGCGGGAGTATCTTATACTGCTTCAGCCAATAGTCGCTGAAGCACCAGTCCATGGTGCTGCGGGAGCGCCTTCCGCTCCGTCAGCCAATAGCCGCTGAAATACCAGCCCACTGGGCGTGGTATATTTCTCTTTTAAAAAGAGCTACAGATCTCGGCTCGGCCCTCTTGGTTCTGGCGCTTGGTCCCGGCTCCTGCTCCTGGCTCCTGCTCCAGCGACTAGGCTCCCTTCCTGACAGTTTATGGTGTATGTAAGTTTTACCCCCCAAAATAAATAATCCCTTAAAACATAACTGGTGTGGGATTGATTCGCCGTTAACTTTGTAAATCTTTTATGGACTAGAAGGCCTATAAATTCTTGGGAGGCCAAGACATCTGTCCATCTGTCACATACTGTCTTAGTTTGGTTACTATTGCTGTGGTGAAACACCATGACCAAAGTAATTTGGGGGATGAAAGGGTTAGTTTGGTTTTCATTTCCACATCACTGTTCATCACTGAAGGAAATCAGGACAGGAACTCGAACAGGGAAGAAGGCTGGAGGCAGGAGTGGATGCAGGAGCCTGAAGGCAGGAGCAGATGCAGAGGCCATGGAGTGCTGCTCACGAACTTGTCTGCAGCCTGATCTTATGGAGGAATTTCTCCAGTTGAGGATCTCTTCTCTCCGGTGACTCTATCTTGTGTCATGCTGACATAAAACTAGCCAACACACATACTATACTATATATATATAGTATAGTATATACTATATATACTATAGCTTTTCTTTACCCCTTCGTAATTGAAAGAACTTTGCTTGAAGAATGATAAAAAGACTAGAATAATGACATCAACTGAAAAAGTTAAAAATGGCGAGCATTTGAGGTTTGTCCTAAGAGGCCTCAGGGGCTGTGGGAAATGAGTCTAGTGAGGCAGAGCACTAACTAGACACAAGTTTGACTTCTTCTCACTCCAAATTCAATCATGTCAACCGATAACAAGTGCACCTTTGTTCTTACATGCTAAACTTACTGAGTAATATCATTGTTAAAAACATCTGCTCCTATCAATCTGATCAAACTACTTTGTTATAAAAATGTTGAAGATATTAAGTGATTTGCTCTTGCTCCCAAGATATCTGAAAGATATCTGTAACTGGCTTCTATCTTTCAAAATGCGATTTTCGGGAGGGGGGGGGTAACTAGTAGGCTTGAAGGTTTAGGTGAGAAGCCTTGAAGTAACAGAATGCTTAGCTTTCCACATTTACAAAACACCAGTGAGTACTTGCAAGTTTATCTCCACAGCTGAGTTGTAAGGGAGACAGTTGAGAATTTATTATAGGGAGGGGCTGACACTGGGCAAGGGCAATTGGTAGATGCAAAGTCACGATGATTTGAGTAGAAATGGCTTTTATAGATTCGTATGTTTGGATACTTGGTCCCTAGTTATCACCAACTGTTTGGGAAGGATTAGAAGGTGTGACCTTCTTGTTAGAGAAGGTTGTCACTGGGTTAGGGTGGGCTGAGATTTCAAAGGACTGTGATGCCCAGCATGCTTCTCTCTGCCTCTAAATTGTGGACCAGAATGTGAACCCTTTAGCTGTTCCTTTACTCCACCCTCATGGACTCTAACCCTCCAAAACCATAAGCAAAAGTAAATGCTTTCTTTTATTAATTGCTGTGACTATCAAATTTTTTCATAACAATAGGAAAATAACTATTATAGAAGCAGGTACCAGGGATGGGCTATTATTGTGATAGGCTCGACCGTGTGCTTTATTTTATACAAATGTGGAAGAATTTGAGACTTCGGACTAGAAATATGGTTGAATTCTCTAGTAGAGTTTAATGGGCCATCCTAGTAAGGGCTTAGAAGACAGTAGCGCTAAGAGCTACGTAGACTGGAGGGCCAGCTCAAGACATTTCAGAGGGAAACAATATTAGCAGCTGGGTTAGAGACCATTCCTGATATTTTGGTATAGAATGTGTTACTCTTTGCCCTTGTCTTAATAATCTGCCTGAGACTAAATGGAAAAGTCATAGACTAATCTTTGGCAGAGATTTCAAGACATCCTGATATTGACCCTGTCTTGTGGTTATTAGTAATCACTCTTATGCAGGTCTATAATGAAAAAGCAAGGGGGGGAATACAAAATACACAGTTTAAAAGGACAAGGAACATCAGGAAATTTAATATTGGAGTCAAGGCTTGTACTGAAACAGCTGAGAAGATTAAAGAGAGGCTGATCATAAAAGGAATAAAGGGAGGGTGACCTCAGGGTGAGATCCCACCCAGAGAAACTTACAACTTGAGACAGAGACCAAAGAGTTTCTGCTCCTAAAAAGCAACAACAAATCAAAATTGCCATGAGTATGATTCAAGGACGCCAGGGCACCTCTAAATTTGTAGTTAAATTTGGCAGTGCTGTTCATTCGGTTCTGGCTTTAAGAGTCATGAAGGATAAAAGAATAGAGATGTTGTTGAACATTTTTCCATGGTTAAGGAGAACCACTCAGGCCGGGTATGTGGTAGTGGACTCCCTGCATGGAGGTCCTGAGAGGCCTTTGTGTGAAGTTGTGAATGCGAAGCCTATGTTGCATTGGAGACCCCAAGATGTTAGAGGTTCCAGAGCCAAAATGAGCTGCATAGAAGGAGTGGAACCAGCCCAAGAGAAAGAAGTGTGTTGTGGGCAGCAAAGCAGGAAGGACAGAGCCATCTAAACTCTTTGATATCAGACATGAAACTACATCATTTCTCTGCTGCATTTTGGTCTTGCTTTGATCCAGTATTTCTTCACGCTGTGGTCCCCATTTCTCCATTTTGGAATAGTAATGTATATTCTGTGCCATTGTATGTTGGAAGTATGTGATTTACTTTTTGATTTTGCAGGTTACAATTAACAAATTGCCTTGAGTCTCAGACTCTGAGACTGAATTTTTAAACGCTTGAGATTATGAAAGACTATGGAACTTTGGAGGTTGGATTAAATTCACTTTGCATTATGATATGGCCATGAGCCTATAGGGGCCAGGTAGTGGAATGTGTTGGTTTGAATGAGATTGGTCACCATAAGATCATGTGTTTGATTGAATACTTGGTCCCCAGTGATGGAATACTTTGGGAAGGATTAGAGCCCTTGTTGAAGGAGGTATGTCACTGGTGGTGGGCTTTGAGGTTTTAAAAGGTTTGTGTGATTCCCAGTGCTCGCTCTCTCTCTCTGTCTCATAGCTGTGGATTGAGATATAAGCTCTCAGATGTTCCTTTGCTTGGTAATCATGGATTTTAACTCTCTGAAACTGTAAGACAGTTAAATATTTCCTTTTATACGTTGCCTTGGTCATGGTGTTTTTCATAGCAATAGAAATTAACCCTGACAAAGGCTATAGCTTTACTATTTAGACTACACTTCAAGTATTCTGGCCTTAACCTAATACTTTGTGTATTACAATATACTTCAGATTGAGGACAAATGACAAAATACACATGTCAGCATGTCTTGGCACCCAAGGACATGATCTGGCGATCGTGTGCTCTTCCCCCAAGTCACTCCTGCTCACTGATTAATGTGCTTGTTCCACAGTGAACATGTCTGCACACTCTTTCATGTGCTATTTCAGCAATATCAATTTGCTAATTGTGAAGACAAAATTATTAAGTTAGATCATAAAAAAGCCTGCCTTTTGGACTTATCAGTTTTGTTCCTAATGCTGGTTTAAAATCTTTTGGTATGCCTTATAAGATTTTACTTAGCCAAAATTTTTAATGTGTAAGAAAGCTTAAATATAAGCTTTGACTTATGTTAAGATAATGTAGCTTTAGTCAGTTCAATAAATTAACCAGTTTACAATCTGAGGTTGAAAGTTACATTTGTTTTGTTGACCTCCTTGGTACTCTAGGAAAGCGCCCTAGGCTCCTTGTAAAATGCGCAATTACTGAACTCTGTGAAATATAGCGAAATTGTTTAACCCAATTTAATAAAGAAGAATCCAAATTGATTAATTAGACTGTTTTAGAAGAACATAAGCATAGCATTTGAGAAATTATTACTAGACTAAGACAAACTCACAATGTTCTAATTTTCAAAGAAACTGTCTAGATATCTTTGGCTTCTAGAGGCATCTAGAATTAGGACAAATAGGCCTAAGTGGAAAAGGAAGATGATTATGGAGGTAAGTTTAGATCTTTCTCCCTCTTTTAAGGCAGGATTTCTCTGTAGCTTTGGAGCCTGTTCTGGAACTTGCTCTGCAGACCAGGCTGGCCTTGAACTCACAGAGATCCACCTGCCTCTGCCTCCCCGAGTGCTGGAGTTAAAGGTGTGCACCACTACCACCCGACCAGATCTTCCTCTTTAGTTTACCCCAGAGAACAATCCATGGAAATCCTAATGGAGCCTTCTGCCCCTTGGGAATAGGTATACAGTAAGAAAGACAGAAAACCATAAATCTTGTTTCTATGTGTGCATGTTTACGTATATGCAAGTGCATGAGTGTATGTAGGCTCGTGGATGACAAACTTGGTGGTGTTCCTCCGATGCAGTTCACCTTGTTTATTTGACAGGGCCTGTCATTGGCCTGGAGCTCACTACAATGTTAGTCTAGCTGACCAGTAAACCCAGGACTCTGCCTGGCTCCACCAAGCCCAGCTTTTTTTAAAGTAGGTACTGAGAATCTAAGTTAGGTCCTTGTGCTTGTTGATAGAACTATCGCTCCAGCCCCAGTAACCATGTCTTAAGATGTAAATTCATTTCTCTTTAATATAAATAGAGTAAGTATGGTAGTTTAGGGTCGGGTGACAGTTCTCACCAAAGACACAGACTTTGCCACACCCAGTTTGTAGCGTTTACCTGGTTTTCTAAGGTCACTGTTGGTACTGCAGTCACCATCAGGTAACACCTGATTCAGCTTGGCAACCATTCACCACAGTTCAAGAGAACTGGTTTCTTCCCAGTCCAAACGGAAGACAGAGATGCACCAAGTGTGACTACGACACATTGCTATAATTGTTCTACTTTGTTGTGGACTTGTAGGCCGAGGTGCTTGGTGGGCTGAGGAGAAAATTGTTTGATCCTAGTCACTGAAACCAGCCTAGGCAACATGAAGGCCTTGTCTCAGGGGGGTTGTCTCCGAGGGGCCAGGGAGACAGTGTGGCTGAAGGGCTTGCTGTGCCAGCACGAAGTCCCGAGTGCAATGGAGTACGCCTGCAGGAACCTCAGCACTGGAGACATGCAGGCA